ACATATATATATATATATCTGTTTAAATCGGAGTTAACAGCGAGATACCCCGCTATGTGTTCACAACCCCGCCCGCCCGTTCCACACTAAAGTGCAACAAATAATAAAAATAAAATTAAATAAAAATAAAATAAGAAACAAGAGAAAAAGTTCATTAATAATGCGCTGATATTCGTCAATATATACATACGTGCAACTATTTAATAAGCATCAACAACAACAACAACAACAACAACAACAACAACAAAACAACGGCTACTTCTTGGATCAAAATAAAAATAAAAAAGAGTCGCAAAAGTTAATGTTAAAATTAAAAGGGATCATCGAGAGCAGCAACAACCACAGCAACAGCTACTGTTAAGTTAAAAGCCAGGCTTAACTGTTAAAGCTCCGCAGGCAGAGCATGGATTACGCCTTCAACATAGCACTAGCAGCAGCCGCAGCTACAGCCGCCGCGCTTCAGCCAACGCTAACAATTGGAGCACATTAAATGAACGCCATTTGGCTACAAAAATGCCGCCGCTGCAAGGACGTCGACAGTTGATGTGAGTAAAAATGTTTGATAAATGCAATGCCCATTTAGCCTAAGACAGCTCCAAAGGTGGTTCAATGCGTCTGTGGGGAGGGACAGAGTGTCAAAGATAGGGTCAGTTAAAGCACATGTTAAGCGCGCACGGCCCTTAGTTCGTTGGCCTGGCCGATATCTGACGCGCTCTCTGTTTATGAATGAAACGCAACGAGGAAGCAATGAACCAGCAGTTAAGAGAACCGCAAAATGCCACAAGAGCGAAGCACAGCAAGAAAGAGAGAGAGAGCGTAGCAGAGCGCAATGCGGAACGCAATATGCACACACACAAACACGATAGTGTGTGTGTGAGTGAAAGAGCAAACGCCAGGCACACTGGCACGGCACGAGTTCATTGACCTTTGCTATTGAAATTTTTGGGCAACGAAACAAACATACACACACACACATACACACAGGCATAAGCAAAGACGCTTTTATTTACACATTGATAAACAATCGACTGTTGACTCTCGGAGCTGCTGTGATTGTTATTGTTGTTGTTGTTGTTGCGAATTGCTGCGTTGTGTTGCTGTTTTTTGTATGCTCTTTCGCTTCAGATGTAATTGCAATTATGCACGTGCGTGCGTGTGTATATGTGAGTGCGGTGCAATGTGATGCAATTTGACACAGATTGAGATAGCGATCTAACCCTTTGCTGATATTTAGCACATTCAATTGAATGTGCTCTTGCAGCTTTGTAGCTTTAGCCAAAGACAAAAATTTTGTTAAATATATATATGCATTTGTTTATAGGTATATTTAAAAGCTTTTTGATTGATTGCCTTCAAGACAGAGCATTCACCAGTCGTTCAACTTGGGCAACTCACAATTCTTTTTCCTGATTGCTTAGTGTGTGCGCGTGTGTGTGTGTGTTTGTCAGAGAGAGTAGCGGGTGGGTTAGCGAACGCATCGATAACAAAGTGTTGTGAAACGTTTTGCGCTGCCCGACAAAAACAGTGCGAGAACGAGAGGGAGAGGGAGAGAGCGTGCGGACGGCAGTATGTGTGTGTGTGATAGAGATAGATGTAGCATGAGCATTAAACAGTGTATTTTGCTAGGCTTTTTTTTTTTCTTTATAATTGTGTTGTTGTATATATTCAAGTTGAGTTGAAGTTAATTGAATTGGACTTGGTAACAGTTCAGTATAATTGCTGAAAATATAGTGACAAGGGCACACAACAAACACACACATACACGTATGTACATACATATGGAAAATAAGCATACCTATTAATTATTGTAAGATCGGTGGGAACTAGGGAAACCAAGGAAAGGCAAATCTATGGCTAGTCGTAAGCCTGATAGCAGTGAAATTGAAGGGATTTTTAGACATGGGAAGAATTATACATTATTATATGTATTTGTATGTGCATACATGAATATATT